GCGCGTTCCACCACTCGCAAAGCAACTGTATATTCGCAAACGGCCTGGCGAGGGATCTACGATGAATTACATCGAAGCAGACATGTGTTTTTCGGACGTTTGCGAGTAGGCACTTTGCGAGTAGTGGAACGCGCTCGGCGATTGCGGTTCGGGGCTCCAGCAGCCCAAGACGCTCTAGGGGGCCCCCGCTATCGCGCCAAGACGGCTCAAGAGGCCTCCAAAAGGGCCCCAAGACGGCCCCCAAGACGTTCCAACACGCCCCCAAACGGCCAGGCGCCAAGACGGGCCCACGAGGGCCCAACGGGGCCCCCAAGATAGCCCCAAGACGGGCCCTCGAGAGCTCCCAAGGCGGTCTCGAGACGGCCCCAGAACTCCCCGAAAGGGTCCAACCGTGCCTCAAGACGGTCCAAGGGGACCCTTCCACACGCAGCGGGGTCCAAAGAGGACCCCCGAAAGGGCCTCAAGACGCCAGGACCACTGATTTCTAGCTACCGCCGCCCAGTGATGTCGCCATCGCACCGAAGAGACGGGCGAGTGCCAGCGATGCTGCAGGATGAGCAGGCCGGGCCGAAGGGGCCTTTCTGGCCAAGGCGAGCTTCGGCCACAGATTGGTGCCACGACCTAGATTTAGGTCGGGCAAATCCTCCTACACGGGGATTGTCAAAGACAACTGAGAAACAATCCCAACATAGAGACATCGTCACCTTGCTGTTTTTTAAACGTTTTTTAACAGTCCTACCATAGAGGGACATGCCCGACTTAAACCTAGATCTAAGGAACCGCCCGAGAACCAGAGATAGCCATAGGTCGGGCCTGTCCCCCAACAGGGGAATTTTGGGCGAAAAATTACAAGTACTCAAAAATTACCCCACTCCCTGGTCAGAAAATCCGCCCCCATACGATTCTTCTACTATTGATGAACACTCCCCCCTGCAGAGGGACAGGCCCGACTCCAAAAGACAGCCCCCTGAGCCCAGAGTGGTCCTCAGCTCGACGCCGCGGCTCTCCTGGGCGCTGGCCTCGGGGCGCGTGCGCACCCCCGGCCCGGGCACCTTCCGAGGCCCAGGGTGGCCCTGCCCAGGCAGGGCGGCGGGGCGGGGGTGCCCTCCTGCGGGAGGGAGCGGTGGGAGGGCGGGAGCGAAGGCTCGGAGGCAGCCGCGGGCAACCGGTAGAAGGAGGAGGCAGGACGAGGATGCCAGGGGGCCCCGGGAGGCCACCTCGAAGCTGTTCGAGAGGGGCGAGGCCAGCGAAAGTGGCCAGGGATGGGCCGAAGGGGCAAGGATGCAAGGGGTACCATGGGGAAGGTTGCCCATCCTTACCATGCGGGTTGACTGCACTGGGAGGTCTTCGTCGGAATGACTACGGAGGATGAAGCCCCCTTGGGGTGCTGCTACGTCGGATTCGGCCGCGGATTGAGCGGGATCAAGCCGGGTGAGACGGGATCAGGCAGGATTCAGCGGGATCCAGCGGGATTGAGCTGGATCTCGGACCAGGGCAAAGTCAGAATTTGACCTCCCAGGAGCTGCATCCGAGCGAAGCAGCGTTAGCACGAAGAAGGCGGGCCACGGAGACAGCCCTCCGCCGTTCTCGGCCCCCGGGGGGCACCTCCACGGTCGGGGCGCCGTCGAGAAACAGGACCGCTCCGGAGGAAGAGCTGGCCCCATAGGGGGAACCCCATGGGGTCCAGGGCGAGCATCCGTCAGAGCACCGTCTCTCGCCCTCGTGGCGAGGGAGGAGGGCCGACCCCGCAAAGGCAGCACGGGGTGAAGGCAGATCAGCAGACGGCCACGGGCTCTCACAGTGGAGGCCAGTCCACCAGAAGCCTTCCACAGGAAACCCAACCCTGAGACCCCAGGACGTCCATGGATTTTCGGCGTGGGGGCGTCACGCCTTCCACAGCAGAACCAGCAAAACCGAAGGAACCCAGGGCACTCTGGAGTCGCGTTGCTCCCAACGTACTCAAGAACCACATCCCGGAAATAATTTCGAGCACCCAGAACAGTGTCGAAAACATGTCGAACGAGTATCGCCTCCCAGGGCCCCACACGTGAAAACCCTCCAGCTCCCTGGAGATCGAGGCCCAAGCAGGTTGGAACGCCACGACCCTGGAGGCAAGCAGGGTGCCTCTCGGCAGGGGCCTCCTCTGTGCAGTCGAAGCGTGGCCACGGCAGTGCGGGCCCAGAGCGTGGAGCCCCCCCGCCGAGGGCCCAAGGCTCAGCGGAGAGACCCGCGAGGAAGAGCATCCCGAGGTGGAGAGCCCGAGCACGCAGAGCCGGTGGGGTTCCCCTCCAGGGCCGGGGCTGCTCTTGGCCCGCGCGCCGAGCGTCGTACCTCTGCGAGGCGGAGACTTCTCCACATCCACCGCCTGGCAACCGACGTCATGGTGCCCCAGCGGGCGGTGCACATGGACATCTTCTGGCCCCTGCGGGCCCGAACATCTCCATATCCACCGCCTGCCGAGGTCCCCGAAAATTGATCTTCCAGGCGGTGGTCATGTATAACTTCCCGCCTCGGAACCTCGGGGCCTGGTCGGAGTTCGGGGTCGAGCCCGCGCCCGACACCCCGCAAGAGCCTTCTGCGGGGCCCTCCTGGATACCGAGAGGCCAGAGCCTAGTCGAACCGTTTCGAGGAGAGGGAGGCGCAAGAGGGCCGACTGGCCACAGCTGGGAGGGAGCTGTGGTCCTCGCAGCCCAGGCGGCGATCCCCAGAGTTGTGAGACAAAGCCGATAGGGGTCCCCCCCCTGAGGGGGGTCAAATTGTGGCTGGTCTGTGGGAGGCGGAGGAGGAGGGAAGGGAAGGGAAGGACGAAGAGGAGGAGAAGGAGGAGCAGGAGGAAGTGAGGAGGAGGAGGACATCTACAAGGAGGAGGAGGAGGAGGAGGAGGAGGAGAAGGAGGAGGAGAAGGAGGAGGAGGAGGAGAGGGGAGGAGAAGGAGGAGGAGGAGGAGGAGGAGGAGGACGAGGAGGAGAAGGAAGAGGACGAGGAGAAAGAGGAGGAGGAGGAGGAGAAGCAGCAGCAGAAGGCGAACTAACTAGTTGGTGGGGAATACTATGCCGGGGAAGTGTCGGTTGGAGCTGAGGAGGTGTTGGAGGAGTCGCGAGGTTGCTGTGGACCTTTGTGGACGAATGTGGCTCTCGGCACACTTGCGCTCCGTCTTCTGATCGGGACCCCAAAACCGTATGGTGGCGGACCGCGCGGTGACCTCGAATCCCCAACGACCTCACCGCGCGGTCCGTCTCCGCACAGTCTTGGGACCGCGGAGGCCCTGGTCGCCCGAGAAATCCTCGGAGAACGACCCGAGTCCCAAAACCGTGCGATGACCCCGAATCCCAGGAGAAGGCCAGGGCAAGGTCAAAATCGGATGAGGATGAATCGGGAATCTCCGAAATCCAGCGTTTCTGGAGGATCGGGAGCCGCGGCCTTCTCAGAGCGCTCCAGAACACTTCGACGCTTCGGGGCGATGTATCCGTCCAGATCCCCCCCGAAATTCCCACTCACTCACCACGCGGTGTGGTCACCACACCGTTCGGGGGCCCCCGACGTGCAAACCCAAGTCAGTCGGGCTTGCTGCACAATTCTGCAGGATCCTGCAGGATCTCGGAGGCGTCCAAGAGGGGGGCGTCCAAGAGGAGAGGCGCAAATCATGGCCGTCGGCATGTGCGCGGCCCAGGGGGGGGCCAGGGACGCAATGAAACAAGAAGAGGCGCCATGAGATCTGGGGAGATAGCATAGCCCTCGCCATGAGATCCACCCCCCGCTAATCCTCACCCCCCTCTTGGCCGACCCCGAGTGAATACAACTCTGGCTTTTCCGGGCCCTGCAGGATCTGGCAGCCGGGCAGACGGCCAGGCAACTGGCCGCCGCGAGCCGGGCGGGCGGACAGCCCAAGCCCAGCTCGCGGAGGCGCCCGCGAGAACCGCGCCACAGCCAAGACTGCGCACGGGGCCGTGCGCGGGCCCAGTGCGCCATCGACTCCTCCTCCTCCTCCTCCACCTCCTCCTCCTCCTCCTCCTCCTCCTCCTCCTCCTCCTCCTCCTCGTCCTCCTCCTCCTCGTCCTCGTCCTCCTCCTCCTCCTCTCCTCCTCTCCTCCTCCTCCTCCTGGTCCTCCTCCTCCTCCTGCTCCTCTCCTGCTCCTGCTCCTGCTCCTGCTCTGCTCCTCCTCCTCCTCCTCCTCCTCCTCCTCCTCCTCCTCCTCCTCCTCCTCCTCCTCCTCCTCGAGGCTCACGACGGCGCAGGACACGGCAGGCGCGCCGGCTCCTCGAGGCCCCGAGGCCCTGGCCCTTCGAGGAGCAGGGCCGGCATACGCAGGGCAATGGAGACCCTTCTCCCCCCCCTCCATGGGAACAGAGGCCTCCTACATGGGGTCGGAGTAGATGGGGTCGGAGGATCGCGCCGCATCGCCGATGCATCGGCGCTGGGCCACATGCAAACCCTACCCCACCACTCCACGATTTCTGAGGGGGAGGTGGGGTTCATTTCGCTCGGGAGGTCCTGAACGAAATGAACCCCGCCTCACCCCGTAGAAATCGCGGGGTGGTGGGGTAGGGTTCGCATGTGGCCTCCTACATCCCGCCCTCATGGGGAGCAAGTCCGCTCCCTCCGGGCCCGGGAGGCTCGGCACCCACGGCGCCCGTCTCGGGGCGCACGGGGTCACTTCTGTCCTGGACTTGACGCGTGCTCACTGCAAAAATTACGTGCACTGTGCCCGCTGTGGGGCCTGTGAGGCCAATGGCTGCGGAGGCGGGGAAGCGCTGCTGCAAGGGGGAGGGGAGTGGGAGAGGGACGACGGGGGAGGAAGAGGGAGGACGAGGTAGACGAGAAGGTCGGCGGACGACGGCAACACGACGACGCCGACGCCGACGCCGACGCCGACGCCGACGCCGACGCCGACGCCGCGGCGGCGGCGGCGGCAGCGACGATGACGACGATGACGACGACGACGACGACGACGACGACGACGACGACGACGCCGACGACGACGACTGCGGCGGCGGCGGACCAGGGCCGCGAGGCCGAGGACGGCAGTGACCAGGGCGTTGGAAGAGCGTGCCTGCGGGGGGAAGGAATCGGCGGGCGGCTCTCGAGGAAGGAAACACGGGGGGGGCAGGGAAGGGATACAGCATGCACAGACGATAACATAACCTGCTATTCGCCGGCCCAACGGGCCAAAGGCGTGCTAAGATCTCCGGTGGCTGGTTCAGAATTTTCTAGTTCGCGCGCGCGGGGCCGCCCCTGAGGGTCCCTGGCCGAAATATGCACCCGGCAAGGTCCCGCCAGAGATGGTTTTGCTCCTGGGCGTCGCACTCGGGGCCCCCCATAAAGCCCCAAGAAGGGCCAAAAGGTCCCCAAGAGGCACCCAAAATGGTCCAAGAGGCGTCCAGGACACCACAAGATCGCGCCAAGACGCCGAAGACTGCCCCCAGACGGCCCAAGGACCCCAAAAGGCAAAATTAATCGATTTCCCTAAGTTTTTGAATGATTTTGGCAGTTTCGCCTTTGCGGCATCCCGACGCTCAAAGACGGCCCAAGAGGCCTCCAGGATCGCCCCAAGACGGCCCAAGAGGCCCCCAACCGGGCTCCAAGACAGCCCAAGAGAGTTTCAAGACGACCCAAAATGCCTCCAGGACGGCCTTAGGGCCCAAGGACGCCCTAGAGAGGCCCCAGAGGGGGAACACGAAACGACATTTCAAAGCTCTCGGCTTTCAGCAGAAGCCGCCAGGAAACCCCAAGAGATCCCCAAGAGATCCCCAAGAGGCCCCAACAGACCCCCACGAGGCCCCCGAGAGGCCCCCAGGAAACCCCCAAGAGATCCCCAAGCGGCCCCACGAGGCCTCCAAGAGGCCCCCAAGAGGCTCCCAAGAGGCTGCAAGACTGCTCCCATGGAGCTTTCCGGGGCTCCCAGAAGAGACTCAAAACCCCAAAAGCCACGAAATGTTGTTTTGGCCGACCGGATCCCGCCACGGGTCGGTGGCGGAATGCGCCGCATGGGCCACGAATGCGCTGACAAGCGCCAACGATGGCAGAAAGGGGCCGGCGGAATGAGCGAAGCGATTAAATGAGAGATCTAAAGGCACAGCTAACTGTCGATCTCTCGACTTCCCAAAGTGCCCCATTCATTATGCGGGTCCCCACGACAACTGAAAGATAAGAAGTTCCCGTGGGCACCTATTGGCAGCTTGGGGGGTAAGCGGCGCGCTGCCCACAGGAGGAAAGCACGGCGATGGCAGGGGAATGAGGTGATGACGAAGGCGATACGTGGTAGCCAAGGTGGTCAGACATGGACGACAGGTGCCCACAATGGCCAAATGGTCGGGCGATGGCGAGACTGGATTTAGTGGACCCTGCTTTTGTTATGTGTACCGGGGACCCCCCCCGCTCCATTCCACTAACTGGAATTGCCGCCACCAAACGCCAGCTACGGCAGACATGGTTTCATGATTCCAATCCGTATTTTGGGATTCGAGGCTCAATCTCTCACCGGCTCCCCTTAAACGGGGTCCTGGCTATACTGGAGAACGGATTCGTCACTTCGTTATGTGGGCAGAGCCCATTCAATCCAGATTGTGACCCCAAAGAACCAATTACAGCTGTGGTAGCCCACCTACAAGTTGCAAGGTTAGGCCTGATATAAAACACTTCGACAGCTACTTTTCATCCCCGCATCCACCTGGCAACCCCTGCGGTCATCCCACGCCGAAAACGTGCCAGCATACACCTGGTGTACATTCGTAAGAACGAGCAGTGGCCACGCAGCCCGATTGCAACACAAAAAAACCCAAACTGGATCAGGCCAGATCAAACCCAGGATCGAGCCGGGTTAAACGGCATCACGGCGGATCGAGCGGAATCAAATCCCAGGTTTCAACTGGATGAATTGAACAAACGAAAGCGTGCACCCTCCCGCGGGCTCCTAGAACGACGGTTTTCGGCCTGGCCAGGCGCGGGAGCTTTCTGGGGGATCCCCACGCGCGCATGTCGTATTAGACACCCGATTCAAAACAAAATCTCTCATCCTATCAATGAACTCACAAGCGGGGGGACTCGCGGCCACCTCTGCGCAACTGCAAACGTCTCCCCGATTGAAATCACAGCAGAGATTCACTCTTGATCGAATGACCATCACAGCGCCCAAACATGCCAACCTCAGTCAAAATGGATAGATTGACTTTCGCTACGGGGACGAGAAGACCAAATTCGACGCGCGGGCGGGCCCCAGCGTCGCGCTCGACGGACGCGCGCCATCACTGCTATCGCCGCTTCGTCGCGACGACTTACGGCGCAACAGAATTGCCCCGATCTCGCGGCAGGCATCTTACTACGCCACGGGCCTGCGGAACACGCGCAAGCGCGCGGCGGCCGGAGACGGCCGACAGGCCAGCCAGGGTGGCCACCGCTGGCGGCCCGCGCGAACCGGCCGCGGCGGCGGCTGCCGCGGTAGCGGCGGCGAGCACGCGGGGTGGCCCGGAGCCGCCACCGCCGTCGGCAGCCGCCGCCGCCGGCAGGGCCTTGGCAGCAGCGACGACGGCAGCAGCCGCGGGCAGGGGGCCACCGCCGGCCGGGGCCGCCGCCGCCAGGGTGCCAGTGCCAACAGCAGCGGCAGCTTCGACCGCGCAGATGGCGCCGGCGGCGCCACCAAGACGGCGCGCGCGGGCAGCGCCGACATGCCCGGGGGCATCGGCAGCGCCTGGGGCACCCGCAAAGGCGATAGGCCGAGCAGCCTAGCCCGTGTCGACCGCCCAGGGAGCGTCAGCAGCGAGGGCCGAAGCGGCGGCGCCAGCAGCGCCGGGAGCGCTCGCAGCAGCAGGCGCGCCGCCGAGAGCGGCCGCGCCCGTCGCGCCAGCAGCACCAAACGCGCAGGCAGAGCTAGAGAGCCCCTGCCGGGCCCGCGACGACCAGGGCGCCGGCGGCGGCGGCAGCCAAGCGGCGACCAGCAGCGGCACGGGCCCTCCGCCGCCGCCGCGCCGCGGCGGTCTCTATCATGCCGGGGCCAGACCGCCGCACCTGAGCCAGGGGCGTGCTCGAGCCCAGACGGCCTTGAGCTAGGAGGGGTACGGACACACACACACACACACACACATACACACAAAAGAAAAAACTCAGATCACAAGGTAGACCAACAAGACACGGTGTAGATCAACATTGCGACGGTGGCGCCAGCCGACAGCCTGGCGCCCTCAGCTGGCGAGCTCACCCGCACCCTTCCTCCCCTCTTCGTCCTCTTCGCCCCCTCCCCGTCGTCTGTTCTGTTCCAGTGGCGTATCTCCGTTATTATTTTTTCTCTCTCTCTCTCTCTCTCTCTCTCTCTCTCCCTGTATTTCTCTCTCTCTCTCTCTTTCTCCCTTTCCCCTGTAACTTGTTTATCCCCCACACACACTCGTTTTACTCCCGACCCCCATGCTCTCCCGCATCATTCCTCTCCCCATCATCCTCAAATTCTACACCGATGGAACACGTTCCGACCAGGATTCCAGAGCGAGTCCAGCCGCAGTGGCGAGACCCACATCATCATCATCATCATCATCATCATCATCATCATCATCATCATCATCATCATCAGCATCATCATCATCATCATCATCATCATCCTCATCATCATCATCATCATCATCATCATCATCACCACCACCACCACCACCACCACCACCATCACTATCATCATCATCCATCATCATCATCATCATCATCATCATCATCAGCATCACCCTCACCATCACCATCACCATCACCGTCATCATCATCATCATCATCATCATCATCATCATCATCATCATCATCAGCATCATCAGCATCATCATCATCATCATCATCATCACCACCACCACCACCACCACCACCATCAATATCATCATCATCATCAGCACCATCAGCATCAGCATCAGCATCATCATCATCATCATCATCATCATCATCATCATCATCATCATCATCATCATCATCATCATTGTCAGCATCATCATCATCATCATCATCATCATCAGCAGCATGATCATCACAGCATCAGTATCATCATCGCCATTGTTACATGATCATCAGCATCAGCAGCATCATCATGAACATCGTCATCATCAGCAACATCATCATCAGCATCATCAGCACCATCATCATCAGCAGCAGCATTATCATATCATTATAATCGTCATCGTCATCATCAGAATCCTCCTCCAGGTCCTCCTCCGCCTCCTCATCTTCATCATCGTCATCATGACCATCAGCATCGTCTTCATCATCGTCAGCATCAGCATCATCAGTACCATCATGACCATCAACATCAGCACCAGCATCATCATCATCCTCCTCATAATCATTAGCATCACCATCACCATCACCATCATCATCACCATCATCACCATCATCATCGTAATCAGCATCGTCACCATTAACAAGCACCATCATCATCATCATCATCCTCATCATCGTCATCAGCATCAGCATCATCATCATCATCATCATCATCGTCGTCATCATCATCATCATCGTCATCATCATCATCCTCGTAATCGTCACCGCCATTGCCGTTATCAACATCATCATCGTCATCATCACCAGCATTACCGTCATCATCATCATCAGCACGATCATCCTCATAATCCTCATCATCAAAAACCAGCGACAGCATCATCAGCATCCTCCTCATCCTCCTCGTCATGCTCATGCGTATGCTCATCCGCCTATCATCAGCATAATCATCAGCAGCAGCATCATCATCCTCATGGTAATCCTCACCCACCTAATAATCACCATCATCATCACCAGCAGCAGCAACATCATCATCATGGTCGATATCGTCAGCGTCAGCACCATCGCCAATGCCATCATCATCATCATCACCACCATCATCAGCATCATGATCAACAGCATCAGCATCAGCCTCATCATCAGGATCATCATCACCATCATCACAATCATCATCGGCATCATCTTCATCATCATCATCATCAAGATCATCAAGATCAGCACCATCATCATCATCAGCATCATCATCATAATCATCACCATCATCTGCATCATCATCACCACCACCATCCACATCCTCATCCTCATCATCGGCCTCCTCATCACCACCGCTTCTTCATCGTGATCCTCACCCTCATCATCATAATCATTATCATCCGAATCTTCATCCTGATCCTGATCCTCCTCCTCCTCCTCATCATCGTCATCCTCATCCTCATCGCACTCATGATCATACTAACAATCATCGCCACCACCACCACCACCATCATCCTCCTCGTCGTCGTCTTCGTCACACTGATTGTGATCACCATCACCACCACCATCCTCGCCCTGCCCCCCCCCCCTTCATGGCGGCGGCGGGTGTGCGCCATCGCGTCGGGGAGCGCCGGCGTGGCAGGCGGGCGGATGCTGCGCGGGGGACCGCGGTGGCCAAGACGCCGTTCCCGGGGGGGTCGAAGGCTGACATCCGAGGAATAGTTTTTGCTCATGCTCGGCCTCCAGGGGCCCTCAGGATGAAAACCAGGTCCCCACCTTTGCGGGGCCACGTGGTGCAAAATGCACAGCGTCGGATGTCTGAGGGAAGGGCCGTGATCTCAAAACTCCTACGTCATGACTTGCTCAAACCCCTCCTCTTCCTCCTTCTTCTTCTCAATTCCTTGTCCTGATAGCTAACTCCTCCCTGTCGCACCGCGAGGCCGGTCAAAAGGGCTGGCCCGGCGTGTCGCCTGATACATCCTCACAGTGTATGCCCCTGGTGCTGAATAGTTGACAACAGTGTCACAGATGGAGGGCGGGTCCTCTTCAAAATGTGGCTCTCGCTTTAGCGCCACACACATTCGTTTTGAACAATAAATTGCAAGAGGTTCACGGATTGAGGGCGGCTCATTTTCAAAATGTGGTTCTCGCCTTAGCGCCGCGCACAGTGGTTCTAACAGATCGCAAGAACTTTTTACGGATTGAGTGCGGCTCCTTTTCAAAATGTGGCTCTCGCCTTAACGCCGCGCACATTAGTTTTGAAAAGAAAGCAAGAGGTTCACGGATTGAGGGCGGCTCATTTTCAAAATGTGGTTATCGCCTGAGCGCCGCGCACATTGCGTCAAACAGATCGCAAGAGCTTCACGGCTGGAGGGCGGCTCCTTTCAAAATGTGGTTCTCGCCTTAGCGCCGCGCACAGTGGTTCTAACAAATCGCAAAACTTCACGGATTGAGGGCGGCTCAGTTTCAAAATGTGGCTCTCACCTTACTGTCGCGCACATTCGTTTTGAACAAATTGCAGAAGGTTCACGGATTGAGGGAAGCTCAGTTTCAACATGTGGTTTTCGCCTGAGCGCCGCGCACATTCGTTCTCAAAATTTGCAAGGGCCTCAAAGATTGAGAGCGGTTGTTTCTCACAATGTGGCTCTCAACTTATCGCCGCGCACCCTGGTTTTTAAACATTTGCATAGATTTACCTGGCTCTCACGGTTAACGTACCAGAAATGTGCTTCGGAGCGGTTCAAGGTTGTCAGGGCGCAACATGTACGTTGATTCGCAGTGTTGTAGTCCACGAATGGCTTTCTGGCACGATTCAGGACCCCCAAGACGTAACAGTCAGGTTAACTCGTGGCGTTGAAGTGGTGAGAATTGTGTTTTGGCACGCTTGCAGATGTTCAAAAAGTTGTCCCCCAACGGGGCAATGACCTGAGTGGAAATGACCCCTTGTAAGTCCCATGAAGAGGGATCTTGGAGAGAGGGTGCATTTCAACATCGTTGATGAGCCTTGGGTTTGCACTGGTCCACCTTCCTCCTCCTCCTCGTCCTCCTCCTTCTCCTCCTCCTCCGCCTCATCCATCTTTTCACATGATTGATAACTCCTCCCTGTCGCATCCCGAGGCCGGTCGAAAGGGCGGGCCCAGCGTTTCGGTGGAGACCTCCTCATAATGTATGATCCTGAACCTGGTCACGGATGAAAGGCGTTCCGTTTTCAAAACATGGCTCTCGCCTTTGGCGCTGCACACATTCGTTTTGAAAAACTCGAAAGAGCTTCACGGATGGAGGGCGGTCCGTTTTCAAAATGTGGTTCTCGCCTTAGCGCCGCGCACCTTCGCCCTCTAATTCTGCAAGGGCTTCACGGGTTCAGGGGGGGTCATATTCAACATGTGGCTCTCGCCTAAGCGCCGCGCACATTCGTTTTGAAATACATACAAGAGTTTCACGGATTGAGGGCGGTTCCTTTCCAAAATGTGATTCTCGCCTGAGCGCCGCGCACATTCGTTTGAAAAGTTTGCAAGAGCTTCACGGACTGAGGGTGGTTCGTTTTCTCAATGTGGCTCTCGCCTTAGCGACGCACACATGTTTTGAGCATTTGTCAGAGCTTCAGGGATTATCATGGTTAACGTCCCAGACATGGTGTTTTGGCACGGTGTCAGAATGTCGGGGCGCAACAGTCACGTTGACTCGCGGTGCTGAAGTTGCGGGAATGGTGTCCTGGCACGATGCAGGATCGTCAAGACACGACAAGAAAGATGATTCAGCGTTGAAGTCCCAGGACACGCGTTCTGGCACAATTCGGGAGTTTCAAACGGTCGTCTTCCAACGGGGAATCTCCCTCAGTGAAAATGAATCCGTGCAGGAGCCTACGAAGAGGGAACTTGGAGGGAGGGCGTATTACAATATCGTTAATGAGTCCTGGGTTTACACTGGTCCTCTTCCTCCTCCTCCCCAGGAGGGTCCCAAGAGAGCCCCGAAAAGACCCCGACGGAGATCAAGAAGACCCAAACATGGATCCTTCGAAGCGGCTCTTCCACTGCATGCTTCTGCGCTTCCCTGATCAGGACAGCTCGCCAGGCGATCATTTCTGTGGGCTGACGGGGATACGATACGCGAGGCGTCAATAACTACAGTAAGTTCGCGCTCCCGAAGCCACAATCCCCTTTCGATAGTGACGCGAACGCTCCCGAGGCCACGGTCCCGAACAGATTACCCAACATGCACGCTTCCGAGGACGCAGTCCCTAGTGCATTACAGCACATGCGCGCTCACAAGGCCACAACGCCTTGCAAATTACAACTCGTGCGAACAACCAGCCAACCAGCAAAAAGCAATATCGACTGCCGACCATCTGATCACAAACGAGCCGCCTGGTAGAGTCGCCAGCCTACCAGCCGATAAGCCGACCGACCAACCAACCGAACAAGCGTCATTATACAAGCAATCAGAGGAGGGGCCGGCGGCAGAGGGCGAAGCCCCTCAGACAAAGATTCGACCCCCAGGCGTGTCCTGGGGGGCGTTCCGACCAGGATCTCGAAGCGTATCCCGCCGCGTGGCCGCGTTGGGGGGCACCCGAGGCCCCAAGAAGGTCCCCCCCGAAGACCAGATCCTCGAACCTCGGGCTTCTGATGCTCTGCTTGTCCCCCCCCCTCCTCCTCCTCCTCCTCCTCCTCCTCCGCCTCCTCCTCCTCCTCCTCCTCCTCCTCCTGCTCCTCCTCCTCCTCCTCCTCCTCCTCCTCCTCCTCCTCCTCCTCCTCCTCCTCCTCCTCCTCCTCCTCCTCCTCCTCCTCCTCCTCCTCCTCCTCCTCCTCCTCCTCCTCCCTCCCTGCTGCCTGCTGTCCTGCTGTGCCGTGGCACCCCGTTCGGCACTCCCGAGGTGGGTACCGAACAAAACGGGTGCGCTGCCCGGCAGTGGACGCTGCCCAAAACCGACAGCGGCCGCTGTTGGGCGACCGACGAACGTCGAGGAGACGTAAGACTCGGGTACGGGGGACTCGGGTTGGCCTGACGGGGGCCATCATAAAAATGACGAGACCCAATCTGAAATTTGACGCGGGCTCCCGCTGCAGACATCCCACGAAAACGGGACCGTCAAAATCCAGGACGCGCTCGTCAAAAAAGGAGGCAGACCGGAGTTCCGGCTTACTCGGGTCTCACGTTTCCCCGATAACTGCTGACCCAGGTTGACAGCGCCCGCGGCGGTGCCGGCAACGAGTCCTGCTCGGAACGGGCAAGAGGCGCGGTCCGTCTTCGCCCCCAACCTTTCCGTACCCATTTCGGTTGCACCTTCTGTGGCAACTCACTAGAGCCTCCCATGCCATCTTGCTGGCCCGTACGAATCGACGCTAACAGATGCCGATCGACGCAAAAACGATGCGAATTGACGCTAAATCGGGGCTGTCTCATTGATTACCAGTCGCCAACGCACGCTAATGCACTCCAGGGACGGAATTGAGATCATAGACGGCTCCCATGAGATGCTACCGATCGCACGACCCGTGGCGAGGGGCGACGAAGGGGGGGTGGACTCATGCATCGCCGATAGATCGGCGATAGGTCCCCGATAGCAAAACAGCACACTCCTGGGAGAGGCGGGCCATCGGGCCCGCGATTGTTGAGGCCTCCTAGCTGGGGTCGGAGCAGATGGGGTCGGAGGATCGCGCCGCATCACCGATACATCGGGGATGCATCGGCGATGCACCGGCGATACACCGGCGATGCACTGGCGTCGTCGGCGATGCATCGGCGACGTCGGCATGAAGAAAACTGGGCCCCACATCGAGCCGCATCGCCGATGCATCGACGCTGCGGCGCGATCCTCCGACCCCATCTACTCCGACCCCATCTAGGAGGCCTAGAGATTGGAGATCGATGCACGGCCCCCCGCTGAACCCATCGCCCTGTCGTTGCCCCTTGGCTTTCAGGTCCAT